GCTGGATCAATATTGATGCCACTTAAAAACATGAGACTCGTGCAGGTGTAGTACACACTCGCCCACGAGAAACATACAAAGAATGAGCTTTTTTTTCTTTCTATGCTTTATGCTCACAAGGCTTAAAGGTGGTACAGACGCCAAGAAACAGCACGTTAGTCTGATCAAACACTACTATTACAGTTAGGGTAAGTAATCCTATGTATTCTCAACATAAATGGTATGAAAGGTCCACAAGGAAGTGGGTCACAGCAGATATTCTTCATCCACTCCTGTTTGTCTCCTGAAACTAGCCTCATTTACAGCAGGAGCTTAAGGTTATATTTATACTCTGGAAGCAGAATAGATGCCTCTTTGCTTTTCCCTTCAGTTCAAAAATATCCCTTTGGATTTATTAATAAACACAACAAACGTCTTTTTACTAACCAAATGCAGAAAAGCTAAGCAATAAAAAAAAAGGTACATAAAAGTTATTACATCTTTGACCCACTTTCACAAGAAGAGGACGGACACCACAAATGCTAAAGTGAGCAAGGTGTGAATGACGATGATGAAGAAGATGATGATGATTCCTGCAAAGCTGACATTGCACTCCACAGGACCTCAAAGGCAAAGGAGGAAACGGGAGGCCCGATTTAGAGCGAGCAGCTGTTGTGTGCACGTTGCTTCGCTACACATCTGCCAAGTCACGGCGGACGGGTGAAGCTTGGGTGACTCCCCAAGCTTCACCCGTCCGTATCTGCCTCTTACTTACATCAAATTCAAATCTCACTGGCTATAAACTGACGTTTTCAACACACGCTGGACAATATGTGGTCGATGGCATGTTTTGCGGTGAGGTCTGACAGGCCGGCACTGCGGTCCTGAAACAGGACGGCCTCCTCCCGCCCTCCTTCGCTCATCGGTAATCTGCATCACACGTGCTGCTGACTCTGCGCCTGTCGGTGAGCTGTAGCTCCTGCTTGTCGGTGCCGTGTGTCAGAGCAGGCCGAGCTAAACAGTGTCAATAATCTGCCCAGGGTAATGCTTCACTGCATAACATGAGGCAGGAGTTTTTTCCATGCTGCTGGTTGACATATTGTCTGCCCACAAGGGATAATTTGCTACTGTTTTTTTTTTTAATTCTAGTGTTTAGAATTTTCCCTGTATGCTGCAACAGCTGGTACTGCCATTGTCGACCTGTGAAAATTGAACTTTAACAACCATTTGTTTTCATTGCCTAGTTTAGAAGTTGAAAAGATTAAAAAAGCTTATTTTATTAATGCTTTTGTTTTTTAACACATGTTGATTTTAATATCATTAAAACAAAGTTTTGATGAACTAAAAACAGAATATTCTGAGGTTTTACCCAATAAATGACAATTGATTATCACAATTATTGTTGTTAATCAAATCATCGATTAATCCCCAAAACTAGCAACAGCGTACAGAGGTAATGAGCGGCAGCAGCATAAACACAGAAATTGCCAGCAGACACTTGACATCAATTACAGGCACAGCATTAAATCAGGAGTACCAGCAGCCTCGTGACGTTAGCTTACAGTTATTGACCGCCACCGAAGTTCTACCGAAACCCGAGCAAAGACATCACAAAAACGCTCTACTTCTGGTTTAAAGTAAACATTTATGAACAATAGACACACACTTATTTCACAAATCCAATGTAGGGCAACGCGATCAGACTGAAGCTTATGACATTTTACACGAGCAGCAGCTGCAAGCGTTTGAAGCAGTGTTATAGATGAGTTAGCAATTCAGCAGTGCAGCACCACAGCTGAGCTTAACAGTGAGCAGAGGTTCAACAGTTTAAATGAAGCACTTGATGGAAAAGGATTTTGTCACACTGCACCAGTGGATATACAATTTATGTTATGGTAGAGTAAGTAATAATAGCTTCACATTGCAATGGTTGAGGTAATACATGTAATTTCTATATACACTCAGAGGTGATTGTATGGTTGGTATCAACGTATCAAGTCAGTGTCGTCAGAGTCAATGTCCTTTCATCAATGAATACGCTCGCAAAAGTTGAGTTGGGTTTTTGGTTTTGTCTTTATTCGTAAAGATACTTCTTTAAAATGCATCACCTATTTCAAATGAACGGTTTAGTTCGGAAGTCTTGTTTGACTAATGGTGATAAATGCATCACATATTAGTATATTAGACAGTGTGAAAACAATTTTGGAGCCTATTCTCCTGTAGCTCAACATCATTCCTCTGGATCCCAATTTCAGGAACACCTGAGGGAGGATGGTAATATCCCACTGCAGTTATTCATCTTTAACTTTGGGCTGGAATCCAGTCCAGACTAATAGGACGCTCAGGAGACATTGTATTGTGTTAATGAGAAATAGAGGTGCAGTCACAATTCTTTCGCCTACTCACCTCTGGGTGTGACTTGTAATTACTCCTGTGGAGCTTTGGGATGGTTGACAGATTAAAAAAAGAGTTGCCCTGAGGCCAGTTGGAAAGCCGCTAAGGTAGAGGGCAGCCAGCGAGCTCTTGTGGAGTGAGACAGAGTCCCTGGCTGACAGGGACGGCACGGCACATTTAAAGGGGACATCTGCCGGATACATCTTTTGATTTGTTCTAAGATGCATGAAGAAATAACTACCTTGAGTTACCGTAGTTTACTCTGCATGTACAGGAATGAAAGTGTTGAGCTACGTTTTAATGAAAACTATTTTTTAGTTAAACCAGTTTTTTGTTTATCACATAGTCATTGGTCACTTTGGCAGTTGAAGTTGTTCATTTTTCTTCCAACCACTCAAAGCGCTTTTACACTTCACATCATTATTTACCCCTTCACACCCGTTCACATGTGTCATAAACATTCATACACCTGCAGCCACAGCTACAGAAGCAATTTGGAGATTAACTGATTTACCCAAGGCCATGCGGCCCAGCTGAGCCGGGGATCGAACTGCCGATCCTCTGATTGAAGGATGACCCTGCTCAGTCGTGCATGATGAATTTATATAATAGTGTTGTCATATCTCAAACTACCAGGCAGTAAATCAGCTTTACTTTAAAAAAACAATAAAACTATGTCAAAGTGTCTGTAATAATGATCCGACAATATGATATTTATTATAATATTTATTATTATTTATTATAAGTGATAGAGGCCATCCTCCTGTACAAGCAACATTTTATTTTTATTTTAGGATTAAGAAGTAGTACTACATCACAAAGAAGTAGTTTTATATTGTGCCATTGCCACCTTTAGTTAGTACACACACACACACATTCTACTGTATTGTGTGTGTTGTGCTCCGTGTGCTGGTTGGGTGAAGTCTTATCTTCCCACTTGCTGTGTCCTGCTGTAACTCATGTCCTTGTCGGGACATTTACAGTAGCAATTACTGACAATAAACAGCTTTCAATCAGTCCTTAATTCACACCTTCGGTCAACAATCAATGTGTACATTACAGGCAAATTACACACTAACGATCAGATCTACTAATCAATAAACCACTCGGCAATAAAGCAAGCGGACAGAGGAGATGGCTCTTTGCACAAGGCTACTGCCCCCTCTGTTGGGGTGAAGATGCAATTTAACTGTGATCAAATAGCTTGCACGTAAAAGGTAAAACAAATATATTTTATTCCTGCAATCCCTATGAACCACTTTCCGAGCTTTAGAGACCATTAATCATTTCCATGTGACAATCGGTCAGCCAGGATGTGTGTGCGCTGAGGTTGAGGACAAAAGTAGACACTTTTAGCACCTCGGTGTTGCCAGAGCTGGGAAAGAAATTGGGAGAAGGGAACGATTAGAGGTGGGTTTTAAGAAGGAGCCAGAGAATGATTCACAGGAGTCGGCCAGAGTGACTAATGGTAGCAGAGACCAGCACTGGGGCTTTTATGAGGTACTTACCCCCTCCCCCACTGCAGCACTAAACGCAATAGATCATGTATTTCAGCACTGCTACTGTGCTTACTGCCTTTCTGCTTGTCAGATCGGCCCGCATCGTTAATTGGACGATTAAAATACTATGAAGACTTGGCATGGAGGGAGAGGATAACATAAAATCTACTTCATATCAAACAAGATTTTCAAAAGATGAAGCCGTTAAGAGAAGTTTTATGGTCGGGAATCCATTGAAAGCACCAAAACAAATGGGTCCGTTAACAACCATGTTAAGCACTACAGTCTGATGTCCTCTGGAGGAGAACATATCAGTGTTATCACAGCTTTGGAATCAAGGCTTTCGCTATGAAAGTCATCATTAAAAAGTTTAGTAGTTTGAACAATGGGCTACAAATGATGTACTGTTGAGCTGCACTATGGGAATGCCAGATTCCATCAGTTTTGGAAAATAAAAAAAAAATAGAAGATACCTGAAGAGAAAACAAAACATATTACACTTGCTGGAAAATTTACTTTAAAAACACAAATAAAGAACTATAATCCAATTGTAGTGTTGTACTGAAGTGTATTTCTGAGTTAAAGGGTTCCACACTTTTTGCATTGCTCCACTGATGGGAAAATAAATATACAAACTTTATATTACGATTAGTGGTTTCACATTATCTGAATTGTTAGCAAACAAAGCATACTTTCTCACGAATGCTTCATAATACTATGCTCTCACAAAGACATCCGTGCATTCAATCACACATTCCTGAAGACTTAATATAATAGTAAAGAAATATGCATTATGTTTCAATGCTCACAATTGAAAAGAGGCAACTTTATTGTTAACTGTAATTTACTGATGTAGAAAAACAGTTGTGATGTTCCTCCTGGTATTAAAATAACCTTTTAAGAGAGAAAGTTGCAGGTTCATTTGTTGTAGGTTTTGCGTTGATACTTTTGTTGTTGTACAGTGTTTCCTGTGACTCAGGCCAGAATCAATGAGAGGGTTTGCATACTTCGATGCCTTAGATAGCTTGCCCTCTACTGGGGAAACCGGACAATCTCACCTGGCAATGAGATTAGTTGACTGAAAGGTGTTTTATTCTGGTCGATGCAAAAAAGGCACTCACAATAATATCAAATATTTGTATACATTTCTTTATTAAAACAATAAACATCAAAAGTGTTAGAGGAACAGAAGCACACTAAGAGTTAGGCAACTGGAACATTTCAGTATGACCTCATCGGCGTTGTGCTACAGTGCAACGTTATGAATTATAAAATTCAAGACAGGAAAATAATCAAATACATCTCGATTGAGAGAAAGCTCTTTTGCAAGTGAGGAAGCCAAAGTAACAGTCAATGTGAGAACGCTGACACCAAAAATAAACTATAGGACACACTGCTACTAGTATTCAGGATATTTTGTCATTTAATCAGTTTACATATTGCTATAATGACCAACCCAAGTTATACAAATAATTAGTTAATACTTCTGAATACTAAGTTGAAATACAGCTGAGAATCACTTAAAAACATCCCAGATCTGCAGACAGAAGTATGTGTTTTGCTTTTTACAATGCAAAGCACTTTACCGAATTTAACATAAAAATCCAACTTATCAGAGTTCTTCAAGAACACTCCAAAGAAAGTTGGCAACTGTTTTCCATTTGGTTTTGGTTGTTTATGAATTGTAGACAAATCTGACAGAGGAGTAGTATATTTCACGGCTGTTATATATTGTACATTATATCATAAGCAGTTTATGAAATATTATGTTAACATTTGACTAATACTGTTTTTATACATTTTTGAAACGATGGAAGGAAGGAGTGCAACGTCCAAGAGTGACGGAAACAACAAATTGAAAATAAAAAATTTAGGATTTATTGATGTTCAGGGCAAATCCAGTCGGTGAAACCCGTGAGAGGGTCGGCTAATCATAAATTAGACTGCATAATCACTGCAGTGCTCATAAATAACTAACAACAAATATTTACCAATGAAACAAGCCGTTCCTTGTCATGGATTGATTGCTGATACTGACTTCTCAACACGTGTACACGCACATAAATGTTTTTAGAAAAGCACGAAACATTCTGCCGCCTGTCTGCAGTACCGCTGGTTACCTGGTTACCTTCCTCTCCCCAACTCCTCCTCCTCCTATTCAGAGGGAGCACCAGAATTCAACAATCCAAAACATTAAAATGTTAATATTGTAACCGAAAAGAAATCATATTAACTCTTTAAAAAAATAGTCAAATATGGAATCCTTCTTCTGTACAGCAACTTGCGTTTGGCGAACCCCGCCCGCGCCTCCTCCACCGCCTTCAGTTGGACTCGGAGGTGGTCTAACATTTGTGCTTCATGGCAAGCTGGAGAGGGATTGGGAGGGGGGATAATACAAAGAGAATTTTGAGTCACCTCGCCAGCTAACAACACAAAGTACAATACATGCAGTAGCGAGCGCGGTGAGTGAACTGAGGTTCGCCACAGATTGAATTAGATATTTCAGCAATGCTAAAGGAGAAAAAGCTGTTACGGAGAGTTTATTACACAGGTTTTGGAATGCAGCCAGGGGTCATGGTGTTTTTTTTTCTTCCATTCAGGCAATGTCAAGGCAGCTTCCTTTGTCTCATTAACAGGGTTGTTAATGGGCTCAGCTGGAAGCTCGTTAGAGAGACGCCCGGCCCACCAATCTAATACAAAGCCAGGGGGTCTGCAGATGGGAGGATGGGGCACATTGGCAGAAACCTGCAGGCACGCAGACTACGGAGTACGGAGTCTGCTGCTGCAGGAGAGGACAACTGAATTCCAAAGATTGAACAAGTGGGGGCAGCAGAGCGGCACGCAGAAATGACGAGCATGTTTCAAAGCAAAGCAGCCAAACTGCGTGCTGACACCAAGCGAGGCGCAGAGATGGATTTGCAGGAGGGGACTAAGAGAAAAAGAGTCAAAGTTATTGATTTTAAGCTACACATGCAGATGTCTTGATTCGTGTCAACGTTAAAGCAAACCTCAGACAAAAATGTAATCGATCAGATTTGGTGAGGCCACAAGCAGCCTTCAACAGACGTGTAAAATGATGAGAATGTGTAATATTGTGCAAGACGAATGATAATGGTGACGCAGAAAACATCTGAAAGCTAATGACAGCCAATGAAATGAGAAACGCCAGCACGTCTTCACGGGGGTCCTACGGTGGTGAAAACAAAAACCAATAAAAATGTGCATCACTTTGTTGGAACAATGCAAATAAAGTTGTTCAATAAAATAATAACAATTTTTTTAAAGAATAGTTTCTTGTCCCCCAGCCCCTTGCGCCCCACAGTCAAGCTATCAACAAGCAGCAGGGTTAAACTAAACGAATCCTACACTATGTGCTATTCATGTTATATGCTGTGTGCTATTGGATGGACAGATATGATCGCAATCAGGTGAGCTCGTTAAAAAGCAATCCATTTTTTTTTTGTTGAAAAAAAAAAAAACATTATGCTAATGGCCTCATTAAAGAGCATGCAATTAGTTTTGCTGACAAATGACAATATAAGAGGATGGATGTGGGAGGAGGGAACACACTACTGAAGTTAAGACTGAAAAAAGACTATTATCTACACAGAGCAGAGAGCCCCGCTGCTGAGAGGCAGATGTCGTTAAGAAACCCCTGCAAATATCTTCATGTTTCGGTAAGATGCTTGATCTTTGGGCTGAGCGAATAAGGAATAGAAGGAAACATATATTGCCTCACCTTCTGTGCAGTAACAGAGAACTGTTCAGCACTGTTCATCATGTCTGCAGTCCTCTCCTCAGCCCGACCCAATCGCTCCCCGCGTTCGTTAAGAGCCTGGCTGGCCTTCTGCACAGCACTCGTCACACTGTCAGCAGCCGAGTGTAGTATGCTGTTACCTGCAGATATGGGTTGGGGAGGGAGGAAGAGTAGAGATGGAGCCAGGACACGTGAAGAAGAAAAGACAAAAGTGGGACACGAAGGGGAAAGAAAAGACAAATGGGGAAAGAATTTTGATTCCTTCGACAACGGAGGTTAGGAGACCTGTATGAACGAATGTACCTGTGGCGTTAGGACCAGTTAATGGCTTCCACCAGGGGCAACGGGAAGGTGGCTAATGAATTTCCTCTGAAGTTGATCTACTTCAAGTAAAGTTCAAGTGAAATTAACCTTTTGAACATGCCACAGCAGCACCAGATTTAATAAAGCACGTCATCGTATTCCTCTCCCCTCCCTGTGGTGCAATAAAGAGATGCTACGTTCTTGGCTGCAGCCCCTGGGATCCATAGTGGATATACATTAAGATAGAGAACACATCTTCCGATAACTGAGGCAGCAGCCCTGCGGATGTTTCCTTATGAGCTATGCTAGCAAGGGGCCTCAGAACAGTATTGTTCCTGCTGCTTTCGCTTTGTTGGCAATAAGGAGGATTTCAATCTGCGGAGGAAAGGTCCTGATGTGCCATTTTTTACACAGCACTAAAGCGGCGTCACTGAGTTCCCAGCGTTTAAATAGAAACAAAGGAAATCACCAGGGGCACAATATTGTTCCTTTTGTAATATATAATAACATTAGGGTACCATCTGCAGCACAGCCAAATACCAGACTACACTGTCAACTATAACACGGGAACGGGTGAAAAATAATAAAGAAAAACACAACAAACACCCTGTGGAAAATACGCTGGATTTCGGGTCTATAACCTTGAAAATACAGTAAATGAGTTTGTGAAGAAGGAACAGGCCGAGCAAAGACTGACAAGTACTGATGCATTAAGACTTGACACGCCAGATTCAATCTCCTCCCACAGGAAATTGCAATATAGTGAGTGTGTGTGTCCCGTGGCATCAAAGCAGGTGAGCTGAGCGACAGATCATTCGGACTGCTGTCTGCACTGCAGTGGCTGATATGACGGCCCCAAAGCAGCTGGTGTTCATTCCAAAGAAGTTCATGGAGAGACACACCTGTGCCGAGAACACACAAAGGGATGTATACATGTTCTTCCCCACAGCAATGTATGCAAAAGGGAAAACATGTGCATACACGAGGGCTTCCCTTGGGCCAGTTTTGAAAAATGACTAAAAATTAACTATAGATTGCAGAACACATTGCACACGACAAACATTCTGGCATGTGATGAAATAAGCGTCACACGTGTTAGGATCCTTCTATCCTTGTGTAGTAGCACATAGGAACTTTATAGTTTACAACTACTAATGTAATATTTACTTCATGGGAATTCTGTTTTCTGCAAAGGTTAAAAAAAACAAATTCCTGCTCCGCTTCCATTTGAAAAATTAAGTTACTGATATTAAATATTACATACATATTCATGCAGGAGTTAACTTTCTTTTGTGTTATGACACTGATGACTGGTGCTTCTACAAGTGGCTTTTTGGGGTGATTTTGGTCAACTTCCGTTTACTGGTAACGTGTGATCTTTCAACAATGCGCAAGGAATTTAGTTTTTATATCCCATAATATCATATCAGGCCAGGGTTCCTTTAACAATGGAGACTGAATAAAAACAAAATATTTCAGAGCTGCAGTGGGGTGATAATAAGAAGGAACATGTCAGCTCCACTGTACAAGATCACGTATTCGGTACAGATTAGATTGGATAACTTCAAGAACAAACACCTACACAAAACTAAAAAGATGCATTCAAAGGACGCGCGACATGTTTCAGTGATTTTATTGCGCTCACTGGGGAGGAAAACAAGATCCCCGTAACACTGTTGCTAGATAATGCTTTTGGGTATAATGTGGGGGTGTTTGAAGAGAGGGAGTGTCTTCAAGAGATTTCCTAAGTATTAGCGAGCCCTTATCTGCACTTCAAAAAAGTTCCATCAATAATTCTCCTTATTACCCGGATTTAACCAGCAGGATTTTCCTTTTCATCTAAAGAAAGGTATAAAGCATTCTGCTTAGACTCTTCAGTAAGTCATCCCAAATCTTCTCATAGCTGCCCCTACCCTCGAAAGCCTCTCCACCTCTGAAAGTTCCAAAGTTTCTGCACGGACAATGATTCGATTTTACTGTAAAAGCAATACAAAATCAGCTTTAAACAGCAGGGAAAAAAGTGTTTAAAAAATCTGATCGATACAGTCAACTGCTTTAGAGAAAGAGAAATATATATATATATATATATATATATATATATATATATATATATATATATATATATATATATATAACATATATATGGTTGTTTTAAAAGTAAATCATGCGTGATTGTATGGAATGTGGCTGTTTTAATCTGTTTGAATATCATGTATCAAAAGTGATACGGTGGCTGCCGCAAAAACTGCTGGCGTTTTCACAAATGGACAAGAGAAGCATAGTGAAACTGTTGGGAAGATTCAACCAGAAAAGATATCCAAAGATATCCATATTCTTCCTGCACTTGGTCCACATACAATTAACTGTGGCTTTCAATGGTCACTCCCAAACAATTGTCCCTGTCACAAATCTTTAGGCAATATGTACATTTCTGTCTTTCTTTAATAACTTAACTCTGTATGTGAAATACAAAAAGCATAAACAAACAGCGCAGGCCTCAATATATCATCTTATTTTAATGACCACAATGTCGCTCCTTCCCTCGCTCACTCTTTCCAGCATCCAGGACTTTGATTCGCTTGACATCATCCTTGACCTAGATAACAGCCAATGCTCCATCACTCAATAGTTAATGTGAAACGTGTCATCCAGTGCTGAGGTTTGGGACAAATGATCCCATTATAAATAGTCATTAAGCCATTAATATGCACGTGTAGGGTTTGCGCTGCTCTTCTTGAACTGTATTTGATTAACTTTTAATTTACATATGTATGTGTCCAACGGGCATTGTTTTCCTTTGTCGTGAAGCAGATGTGTGCCCTGAACCTCTCGTTCACCTAAAGAGAGAGAGCCATCACTCAGCCATGACATGTTTTTATGAGGTGAAAGGCTTGACCTCGCTCGCTCAGTTGGCCTTTAGTTTAGTCCCTGTGATATTAGTTCAAAAGCAGAACAAACACGGACCATCCAGCGCTGAACGTACAAGGGAGTCACGCTCACACTGACAGAAAAATAGCTAATAGGTATTCATGAACAGCCTTCTCACCAGCTTTAATCAGCAGATTAATGTCAACAGCACATTTTGCATTAAACGACCATCATTTCCATCATAATCTTGTCTAAGATTAAATGTTAATGTGTGAAATGATATACAGAAGTACGGAATGCTGAGAAAACCATTAGTGAAGAAGCACTCAGTCATTGCACTGCGCTCGGGTGTCAAAATGTGATTTACCCCTGCGAAGCATTACTCATTTCCTCGGCAAAAGCCGGCTGACAGCGAGAGCGAACATAACTCACGCTAACCTTTGGACGCAAACTTAAAACCCCGTTCAGCATGTCGACCCCCACAGTGAAAACACGAGCCAGGGAGCGAGTTGACCTCGAGCTCAGCGGGAGCTCGCGGTGGCGAGCGGAGAACCAAGCGCACAGCCCTCAATTTGTGAGGCTTCCTGTGGAAATGTACTAATTATTGTATTTTAGTGTGGCTTCTATTGGGACACATCACGTGTTAGAAAACTATACACTCATTTAAAAAAAGGAGAAACTACAAGTTTCTTGATTTCTGGAGGAATTTTAAGATGTTAGTAAGTTTGTGAATTTAGTCCACGTAGTTTGCGTACTGTACTCGGCTGGCTTACCTCGTCTTAGCAGATGACCGTGGTGTGCAACAAATTCTTTCCATATTCTGTTCAAATAGACCTTGCAACGGAAAATGACTGAATCTACAGCTCGGTGTTCTGTGATGAGAAAGTATCAAACGTCACAGTCAGCTTTCATGTTGAAAACAGGTTTTGAAATTAGCCAAAGAGGGGTTATCGTTTTTTGTGGTTATTAAATCATTAAGAGGTTCAGTTGTAAATGCCATGCAAGAAAAGAACAGAGAAACTAGTAACGGTTTGATGAGTCATCCATCAACTGACCGCTGACCTTCTTAAGAATGAAACATAAGCAACTGGCTGAAATGTTTGTCGAAGGCTGAGAGTTTAAAAGCATCCGGTTTGCTATCAGACTTATTTGTTCAGAATCAGGTAAGTGGGAGGTATGCAATAATACGTCTAAAACTCTAGAATCAGTTCAGTCTACATTTGTGGATGATGCCATCCCAGAGGATCCTGCAGCCGGAGTCTCCCACAGTCATGGTCCCACACCTGAGCAGCGTCATGATCTTTGTTTTGCACTGGTGTGAGACTTAAACTGCGGTGGACAGAGTTGGCATCTTTTTTTCTGTTGCTCCAGTCTCAATGTGCGTCATAGACGACATCCTCTAACCCTGAGCCAGAAGGTCACGGCCGCATCATTAGCTAGTTGGACTGGCAGCATGGCGTCATTACATCTTGATCAAAAGCGGTTTGCGGATGTCTCTCCACAAAAAAGTGTATTCCAAGACAGGACGTGTTGTTTTTGTGCGAGCCCTTTTATCACAGGCAGCGGTGTGTGAATCCTAATCATCCACGAGACCAATGCTTCATCTGTAACTAGATGTACTGGAGGTGTGTGGTCGATTGTCTCCTCCTCTAAAGACCCCTGTCCTCTTCAGTGCTGTCAGGGACTCTTTCCACCTACACATACTGAGACTATAATACGCACCAGGGTTTGGTTTAAGCGTGTTAAACAGAGATACAGTATTCAGAGTAGGAGGGAGGTCGGGGCAACACGTTAGAGAGATCGACAGCTGTGTCATCAATGAGCAGATGGTGGGTTCTCACACACATTGAGCCAGAAAGGTGCAGAGGATCAAAGTTAAAAGTATTGAAAAGTACTTTCTTTGCTTCGTGAATGAAAGTTCTCAAAGGGAAACTTCACCAATTACAAGCAAACCATTTTAACTACAGGAATATGTGTTTTGTAATCGATTCACATATATGTGAGGCAGACCGATCAGCGTGTGTTCACATATGAGCTGGGCTTCACTTGAATACGGACTTCAAAGAGGAAAGTTAGTGTTACGGCTTTTAGTGTCGTATGTTATTTTGAAGGGTGATAAAACAATTGAAAATAAGAGTCTCACGCTTAAGCCACACAATTAAATCAACATCAAATAAATGAAAGGAACATTATAATTTAGTGGTCGTATCGACCTTCTGCGTGCTTTAAACCAGTTGAAGTGCGCCAGCTGCTTTGAGTCACAGCCGACTCATTTTGTTGGCCGTCTCCATCGACCTCACTTCGGCAAAGCACCCAACAGATGCTGTGTACGAGGATTAAGCATGCATTTTCATACACACCAGGTGCTGGTTGTCACCATGCATAATCAGATTCAAACTGGCTTACGGCACAGTATGGCAGCGGCCGCGTGGTGTTTGCCGAGCAGCATCAGCATTAACCAGGACAGTTAGCGGTGTCCATTTGGACCGTCTTACCCCCCAGCAGTTTGGACTGGCAGTTGACAAACTCCGGCTTCCTCGCTGCGCTGTAGCGCTGGCAGGTGTGGTGGAGAATCTGAATGAAGATGCACTTCTCTCCCGCCGAACCAGCAACCCACTGGTCAAAGGCATTCTCGAACATTAGGTCAAACTCTGGGCAGTCCTTGAAACAGCGATAGAGAGAGACGTGAGCGAAGTGAATATGTGAGCTCAGGAAAGAGAAACATCTAAACTAACAAGGAAGGTAGTGGCAACGGGGTTTTAAATAGTTGGATAAAAGAAATGGTTGTAGGGGGTCGGGGAATTACATACTTTGTTCGGGTTAATGCCGTTGACCTGTCTTAGCTCGTCGATTGTCCACTGTGACCGTTTCACAAAGGCAGAAGATCCTTGGAACTGCTTCACCTTGGTGATGGATACATGAGAGGGTTTCTTGTTTGTCACTGTTGGAACAAGAACAATAAAACACACCAGATAAGATTTAACTGAAACGTTGTGTAATGTGCAGCCTTGATGTCTATTGTGTAGTTGGACAAGTCTTGATTAAGGTTAATGGACAGTTCAGGTCACATGAGGAGGAACATTCAAGTCAAGCAAAAGTGCGAAGACCTTCTGTGGGCGGCAGAAACAAAGGCAGGCTTTGAGAGTAGACGTTTCCCTTTTGAAGCCAATAGCAACAAAGACAATGGTAACATTTCCTACGAAGCCTAACCCTTAACAGACTCTCTAAACATGGATCTGGCTCTAACATTTACCCCCGTCAAATTGCGCGGAATAATCATTCATACAAAATATTACATGAAGAGTTTCTCTTCTATTGTTACAGCCAAAGCACAACTTGCTGAGTGTGTTTACACTCTGCAGGACACAACCTGTCTCCTCTTCTACTGCTGAGTCACTAACATGCTGCACTGCGACCAAGAATGGACGTATCAACAAGTCACAGGAGACAAATGGACTTAATGATACAGGCTAAACATGTTTTAATAACTAACAGAGGCGCCTTGGACCTTTCTACCTTTAATGAGATAATTGTGTCCCTTGCCGCACTAATCTCAACACTGCAGTACTTTCCGTTTTATTCCCATTGACATCAGTGTTTGACTCTTAACATACAGAGATGTCCATGTTTACAGATCATTGAAGCACATAGTTCTACCGTGTGCTGGATGGGTGTGTGGCTGGATACCGACCCCCTTTTTATTATCTTTTTACAAGCTTTTGTGTTGCTTTTTTAACCCTGGCAGCAAACCCCTGCTTCCGCTTTCCCATTGTGTCATCTCAGAAACATCGATGTGTTTGGAAAATGTTCCCCTTCGGTCAGTCTTTAGTCTGCTTCTCATCTCCGAAAAAAACAAAAGCCTCCTTGATGGTTTGCGTGTGACATTTTGTCTTTTTTTTAAAGCTCCAACACACCTTATTTTTCGGCAAAACGATTTTGAAAATATAGGTTGGGCTGAATGTTACATGTTACAGCCGATTCATTCACGAAGACACGTCTCTCAGAGGGAAGTTTTGATCGGGTTCTTTGTATCCATTTAGACAGCTGCTGTTAACAGCTGGTGTTGCAAGGTGGAACAGGCAGATGGATATAAAAAAGAGTGGCAGTTATTTCTTTCTAATCTTTTCTTGAGAATATATTTTACTCAAGCAGAGTGTCAGAACCATGACAAATAGACAGACTGATCAGATCTCTCTAGTCACACAGAGCGCTAACCAAGGATATGAAAAACACAACACTTCATGAAGGGTAGAGAGATGTAATGAACCGGCGTGTCGAAGAGTAGGAGTCTTGAAACTAACGACCAATTCTCAGAAAGAAAAATACGTCTCTGAGCTACATTTGTGGCAAATGATATAGTATATCAGTGAAACACTACTACTTAAAGTCGAGAGAGGTTTTCATTGCAGGCACTTGATAAGTGGAGGACTGGTAGCATATAAATGTACGACTATGAATTCAACTAGAAAAATACCAGAAACTTCAAACACTATAGGGCTGCAAAAAAATATTATTTTCATATCATTTTACAATTTTAATTCCTGAGTTAAAACTGTTTTTTTTCATAAAATGTCAAACCGTCCAACGCGAGCACTCAGAGACCAAGTTTATGAGCTCCAATGCCCTTTTTTTTGTCTAATAAACAAAACGGATGGGCTGTCCCGATTGGGCAGGATTTACGGATCACTTGGCAGGTGACACAGGTCGTTTTTCCTGTTCTCGTGTAGCGTTAATGTGCTGGTCCATTATATAGTAATGTAATATTGGTTCAGTGCATAGGCAGCCAGAATACTAGTATCAGTAGTAAAACAAACATACAAGTACAGGATATAATTAGATTTTAGAAGCTCCAACCAATGAATGTTGGCCTTTTTTGTCAAATAAATGACTGATGACAAACTGTTTGCCAACAGCAATATGAACTGTGACGTAAAGCAGATCAATCAGCCACTGTAGAGGAATAAAAATATTACGACCTGCATACTAAAAATACAAAGACAGTAGATTTACTGTAGCAGCCACTCAGTCAAAGGTCAACCGAGCTGACATATCACACGCTTTGCGAGCTGTGTCTGCTAGAATAATCACAGTCACTCCAGGATCCGAATAGCAGTGGAGAAATAGCATTAAACACAACAAAGGCACTCTTAATTATCAGTTACTCACATGGGGAGGAAAATGTATGTTGCTATCTGGTACTGCCATTTGGTGTGTATGTGTGTGTGTGAGGGGGGGGTTCTTCCACTGAGACCCGACTGCTGAAAGGCATTAATGAAAATGGGAGAGACGAGGCCACAGGTCTCTAAATCTTCAACACATCAACACATAGGACTTAATCGCACTGCAAGACACCTGTGTGCCTCTCAGATCCTGTTAATATTCAGTTGTTGATCCCACCTTGTCGGAGTTGCTCCCCTGCATATTAAACTGAAGCTTGAAAGAGACGGCTTTATTGGAAGAGGAATCAAGGAGACTGTAAGAAACTGACATCAAACCAAAAGTTTCTGACATTATAAATTCAACTAGCTAGTGATACGAGTGTGAAGGAAAATGAATTTAGAAATCTCAGGAAAACTAATGACGGAGGCAAGCAGGAATACAACTACTGATGAGAAAAATTGTTTTATGTAATTAGACATGCTGATATTCTACTATCAGTATTGCAGTAAAGGAGCTTTTGTAATTTTGTTCAGCTAAACTACTGTAAAATCACTCTACTTCCTGACCGCCACTCCTCCATGCGAAATTGGAATATAAGCGGTCATTATGGACTGAGGCTCGCAGCTTTATCTCCTGTACAGTGAAAAAGATCCCATCCCTGTACGTGCACTGAAGCGGAGCAAATATGAAACAAATGCAAAACGCCCTCCTGACTCGTTTCATTTTTATAAAGCAGACATAATAATCACAAACAACAATGTGAAAGCATAATAAACTTTATCAGAATGAGTAAAAAACAACATTATATTTCTAAAAACAATGAAAGCCCAAAGCCATTGAGAGGCTGCCAAAGCCATTGTTCCACTGTGAGCTGTCAGAGAACGGCCCTGGTAGGAGTTCCTGCCCGGTTCCTGCGATCAGCCCCTTGTTGCACTTGGCTGTGCGGCCTCAAAGAGAACTCCTACAGTGTAGTCAAAGACTGCAGATATCACACCGGAAAGCCTTTTTGGATCAGCAGGAAATATTATCATAGTTTACAGTTGATAGGGAAATGGGAGAGCCAGGAGGAGTTCTGCAAAAAGCAGTAATGGCAAATGTGAGTGTGAGAAGTGTCCAGGCTGTGGATTTTGAATGCACACAGCATTTATGGAAATGTTTAATATGGTGCAGTACTATGGAAACAAATGTAATCTGGTACAACTATGATGAGTACGCTTGAGCTCTGGGATTAATGCAGAAACATTGGAGCGTGTCAACAATCCCATTAAAAGCCAACGCAATGAAGAAGGACCACCATCTAGTTCATAATATTAATAACTTTCTTTCACTGATATAATATAATTTCCTTCGACAACACTGACGCTTATCAAAAATGTCCATCCACAAGCCAAAAATATGATAAACATCAGCATTTCGGGCCATCCGGGAGCAGAAATGAAAATCCCAAACCAGGGAATAACAAAAGATCACATGAGATCTGGAAGATAACGTGTGACTGTTCAGTGGGAGGCACGGCGCTGCCCACGGAAAGAAATCGTATTTCAACACCCAGCAAGAAAATAACATGCACAAAAAGTGCTCACTACACACGACGCACAGCTTACACGTCGAGCCATCGTTAGCTGACATTTGTAAAATCATGGAATATCTTTATTATTATTCTTGCCAGTAAAGCAGTCATGGCAAAATAAAGCCTTGAAAGCTGCTTCTCAAAACTTTTAATTATTCCTGTGTGTCAGAACAAATAGTGAAATAAATTATGCAAACTTCCTTAACAGATGTGTACGTATATTATTATTTCTGATTGAAGTTGTCCCTGTTATTTAAGCTTAAAAGATGAAGGCACTTCTTTAAAGAAGCATTCATCTCAAGCAGGTGGGCTGAGGACTCCCTGGAAATATAATCCACCCTCAGTTAGCCATCAGTCGGCTCGGCGGTGCTTTGACAGTGAGGTTTCCATGGCGATCTCATTTACATGGCACAAAAGACACCTGAGAAGAGGAGTCTGGCACCTGGCCTAGTTCATACATGAACAGCGAGTTAGGACATTTCATATGCAATTTTGACTCTACACTGAATCCTAATTACAAAGAACTCAAAGTCCTTTGGAAATCATTAAGACAGCAGGAAATGCTAATGGCTAATTAATGCTTTTTTTGGGCTCGGACAAGAGCCAGATATGAATTAAAAGAGATCGATGATATGTGTATGGATCACCCTTATGCAGTACATGACGATTCCAAAAAGTTGAAGAAATATATTAAATGAGTTCAAGATTTAGGAAAAGCCTCAGCAGAATACTTTCATCCTTGAGTAACTAAGGAGGCATTAAATTAGTAAAAATTACATTAAGGTAGAAGCAGATTGGGGGTTTCAACTACACAGGTTTGAACCTCTTTAAACCACATCACATTACTGCCTACTTCATAAACTCATCTCTGAGAAATAAACTAAATCTGAAATGACATCCTGCTATGTGGAATAGAGAATGGTTTTGCAGCGAGGACACTGGAAAATATTCAACCGGTTTGCTTTACCGGTTGAACTTTGCGGCTTGTTGCTGTATTAGAGCTCTTGTAGAGTCTGTTTAGCCATTTTCCCTGTCTGGCTCTATGATTACAGGTCTATTTCAGAGCTGCCTGCACTGTGCTTGAGCTGGAACACATTGTTATCTTCAGAAAGAAGCTGTCACCGGAGTGAACCATGCACTGGCTAGACGTGCAACAACCTCCCCCGGCACAAAGGCCTCTACAGTCTATTCATGCGTCCGAAAACAGTGAC